GTTAAAATACAGAGCACACTGAAATGTCAGCGATGCATACTTCGTACTGGTTTTAGAGGTGACTTGGGGCTGTATGACTTTTTGATTAAATGTTGGGAAAGAATCACAATTTTAATAGTTCTGCTATCCCATAACCAAACACACCTCAAGGACAGAAGGTCAGCACTCCACTTTTTCCTGAAAGTCTGGCTTATTAAAGGGGTTCCATACAGAGCACACTGAAATGTCAGCGATGCATACTTCGTACTGGTTTTAGAGGTGACTTGGGGCTGTATGACTTTTTGATTAAATGTTGGGAAAGAATCACAATTTTAATAGTTCTGCTATCCCATAACCAAACACACCTCAAGGACAGAAGGTCAGCACTCCACTTTTTCCTGAAAGTCTGGCTTATTAAAGGGGTTCCACCCTAAAAAGTAAAAAGGTAGTTTCTTAAACCCAGTGAGCACATTCTAAATATCAGAGGGTTCCACCCTAAAAAGTAAAAAAGGTAGTTTCTTCAACCCAGTGAGCACATTCTAAATATCAGTGTAACTACTTTTAGGTGTTAACAAGAGTGTAACTCACAGAGAATTCTGTTTTGCTGCTTAATTTCTTATAATCACATCTAACATGCTATAGGTAAATGCAAATTTTTCATTTTACATATGAAGAACTGTAAATTATGCCAGCAGGTTTTTTATTCAAATAATGAATAGATGTATTTCTGTATGGTGTTATGTGTAGATTGGGCTGTTCATAACTGTATTTTCTTGTAATGGGAAAAGTAGGTACTTGCTAAAAGAAATCATTGGCTATGCAGTACCTAAGTAAAGTTCAAAGAGGTTCTTGGGTCTTAGATTGGAGAGGGACCTTGCAGACATCTTCGGTTCACAAACAACTATGTTGGTTTGACAACCCTCCACAGGAAAGATGGGTCATTAATTACACTCTTCAACCTTCCTCAACTTCAGGTGTGACCCTGGGTTTTCAGGGCCAGCATGTGAGATGGCATCACAGACCTTTCCTATGTTCATCTCGGAGAGCTTCGCCAGCTCTCGCCTCTCCTCCTACCACAGTTTTTACTCCATCCGGGGGGCTGAGGTCAGCTTTGGCTGTGGAGTCCTGGCCAGTGGCAAGGCCCTGGTCTTCAACAAGGATGGGAGGCGCCAGCTCATCACCTCCTTCCTTGACAGCTCCCAGTCCAGGTGAGAAATTGGGGAACACCTTCCTTTCCGCCTACAACTTCGTGTATTCTTAAGCCAATTGTTTTAGCAGGTAAAAAAAGTTTGAATAAAAACTCCTAGTTCCGTGTTTTAGTGGTGATTACATAGCATTGCCTTTTTTTTCCTCCTGCTTTGTAAACAACAGGGCCCAAAACAGACTGGAGGGAAGTGCTTGTACAGCTTGGATGGAAAATATGAAATGTTAATATCAAACCTGAGTGTCAAAGCCAAGTGCTAATTAATTATTTATAAGGTTGTGTTTATTTGACAGCTTGTGGCAACTGATTAGATCCATTCACTATCTCTCCCTCCCCTTCAGTGCCTAATAAATAATTAAATGCTATAATGATTGGCATTTTTTTAACTATATGTGTCACGTTGCATTACGTTGACAGTAAAAACAAATCACATGTACAAAAACCCTATAACTGATATTTACCAAAATTTGCCTAGATTAAGAAGATCTTTAAACAACCTGGTTAGGAAAAGAAAACAAACAAAAACCACCCACCACTATGCAAATGATACCCTTCAAATCCTTGTGTCATCCTGCTGCAGGTTCCTGCAGTTCACACTACGCCTGGGCAGCAAGTCGGTGCTGAGTACCTGCAAAGCTCCTGACCAGCCTGGGGAGGGTGTGCTGCTGCACTACTCCTACGACAACGGGATTACCTGGAAACTACTGGAACACTACTCTTATCTCAACTACCACGAGCCAAGGTATTTGCATAAATATTAGGAGTGTTATCTACCTGCAGTTATGCTGGTGCTGGTAGTCGTTGCGAAGTACACGGTGTGAGAGTGAGTGGAGTGAAGAGTTTTTATTGCACGCTGAAAGTTACCACTTTTCCTTACAATTCTGCAGCTGTTCTAGGCACTTCCCACTTGGCCATTCTATAAAAATGAGTGCATGGATTTAATGGCATTCAAGGCTCAGGTGATGCAACAGAACAAGCTGAGGTAGTGGAGGCTGAGGAGTAAAACTATCCTTCTGGGAAATAAGGGCATGTCTTTTCCCGTGGAAGCAGCTACTTGGAAAGAAAAATTAACATAAATTATTTGTAGCTTTGAAGCCATAGATACCTTCACTGCATCATCCTCCAGGAATAGGAGTTTGCAGGCAGCACAGGACAGCTGAGAGAAAAATCTGACCATGAGGGTCTCTCCAGGTCAGCAG